TAATTCCAATGATTTTAAATGGAATTTTATATATTTGCATAACTAAAGAATTGAGAAGTTTCTGAACATCTGTTGGATTGAATTTTTGTACACAATAGTTTAAGAGCATAATAAAAATATGTAATTGGGTTTATTAATGGAGAACCCTATGGATCACAGTCCTAGTGTATAAATACAATAATACTTTATTTAAATTTTTTAGTTTTACCATAGTAGAATTCTAGAGCCATGGAACCAACCAATATAATTCTTATATATCTAGAATGTAAGAATGTTTTGAAATACAGTTATGTTTAGTATTCATTTTATATTCTTCATCTTTAAGTATTTGTAACTAAATGGCAGCTCATGGGATGCTAATTTTTATCTAGATATGGAAGTTAAAACAAACATCACTTTATTAAATTTAGCAGAAAAGAGGTTGATTATTTTCTATATAATTAGAATTTACTGAATAGATGATGTGTGCATAAAACTAGCAATTTCATTTTTATTATTTTCTGCAATACATTATGGTGAAATTTTGCCCAATATGACTTTTTCATTATCATATTTAACTAATTTTTTCTTATACTACTATGAATAATATTAGAATGAATAAGTTAGCAACAAATTATTCTGTTCTAATTTATAATCCTATAATTATGTATATCTTCCCTGACAGTTATCATAAGACATCTAAGTTAAGCAATATTACCTTAAAATTAGTACTAATATTGCTTTAAACTTAGTACTAATAACTAATCCTATTGAACATGTTATATAATATTTTTAAATAAACTTTTATCAATAGGTGGCAACTGTGCTTAGTTTGAAGCTTTGTATACGGATTGAATTAAAATGGCCAGTTTTTGTCTTTTGTTCTTTTATTATGTCTTATATATAAGTAAATATTAGTCTTATTACTCCTTCTAACTTATGTTCAGAGATTCATCTTTCTGATTGCTTCATTCCAACTTGAATTGAGAGGGACTCATTAAGTCATGCTAATTTAAATTCATAGCATCCTTGGAATGCCTGATTCGCATCACATCTGAATGAAAACTGGGCCAGTTAGATATTTCACAGCAAGTCTACCTCATCAGATCATCATCAGTTCAGTTCAGTCACTCAGTCATGTCCAACTTTTTGCAACCCCATGAACCACAGCAGGACAGGCTTCCGTTTCCATCACCAACGGCCAGAGTCCACCCAAACCCATGTACATTGAGTTGGTGATGCCATCCAATCATCTCATCTTCTGCCATCCCCTTCTCCTCCTGCCCTCAATCTTTCCCAACATTAGGGTCTTTTCAAATGAGTCAGCTCTTCGCATCAGGTGGCCAAAGTATTGGCGTTTCAGCTTCAGCATCAGTCCTTCCAATGAACACCCAGGACTGATCTCCTTTAGGATGGACTGGTTGGATCTCCTTGCAGCCCAAGGGACTCTCAAGAGTCTTCTCCACCACCACAGTTCAAAAGCATCAATTCTTCTGTGCTCAGCTTTCTTTATAGTCCAACTCTCACATTCATACATGACTACTGGAAAATAGACCGACCTTTGTTGACAAAGTAATGTCTCTGCTTTTTAATATGTTGTCTAGGTTGGTCATAACTTTCCTTCCAAGGAGTAAGCGTCTTTTAATTTCACAACTGCAAAGACCATCTGCAGTGATTTTGGAGCCCAGAAAAATAAAGTCAGCCACTGTTTCCCCTGTTTCCCCATCTATTTCCATGAAGTGATGGGACCAGATGCCATGATCTTAGTTTTCTAAATGTTGAGCTTTAAGCCAACTTTTTCACTCTCCACTTTCACTTTCATCAAGAGGCTCTCTAGTTCTTCTTCACTTTCAGCCATAAGGGTGGTGTCATCTGCATATCTGAGTTTACTGATATTTCTCCCAGCAATCTTGATTCCAGCTTGTGCTTCCTCAAGCTCAGCGTTTCTCATGATGTACATTTTTTAATGTATACCTGAATTAAAATGAAATTGCAGAAAAAACTGAATGTAAAACACATGAGGACATTCAATTATTTTATTTTGCTTTTATCATCAAAGGTATTTTAGAATAAATTTAGTTTTGACAACTTTGATATAATTGTAAAAGTTCTCTTACTGGTATATAATGATCAATAATCTTTAATATAATATTAATTTAATTTTTAATCACAGTGACTGAAATCGTAAAAGAGAAATAAGAGGATAGACTTTTAAGCTGCAGCTTTTGAAATGTAGATAGTTTTTAAACAATCTGTAATATATCTAATACAGAAATAATATTCTAGAGGTTGTCTACCTTTTGATTTCTGAAGATCTTAATTTATGAAAAGCATTTGATACATGAATAGTAATAGAATATAACCTATTTTGAAAATATTGTAAAGCATTGTTTTCTATAGAACAATGATGACAGTAACTGCAATATATTATTTATGTATCATGTTTTGGTTTATATACATCTTCAAATACATGTCTCATCATTTAGAAGACTTTCTTGATTCTTCTTTGGTTACCATTAAATAGGATATTTGGAACTCATGACAGCATCTAATGTTTATAATAAATGTGGCTTGCTTCAGTTTTCCTGCATATACATTAATAATTAGTATTTTTGTAAATTAAATAGTATATGATATGCAGAATGTTCAGTTCACATGTTTAGATAGTAAGATGGGTGGATGTAAATAATATGCATAATATATTTTAAAATCTTATCTATACAATTATAACCATGTGAAATTGCTTTTGATTCAAGACAGTTTCTTAGAAACAAACACTGTCATAATTGCAAATTTCAACCTTTATGCCCTCCTCATAAATAACTAGTAATTTGCTTTGCTGGTATCAAATATTGATTGCTTAAACAGTATAAATTTGAAATTGCCCACTTATATCTGAAAATTATAAGAACAGCACAGATTCTAAATTAATTTCATTACTATAAAGCTGTAGTAATTAGGAAACAGGTTGATAATAGGAAGTAAAACAATAGTCCAAGAAACAAAACATTATATTTATATACATATATATATAATATTTATTTCAATCTTATAATTTAACTACTTGAGATTAGCAATCATATTTTGTTTATAGAATAGTTAAATATAATCTTGTTTTTGTCATGTATATTTTTATTTTTCATTATTTCTACTTTGAATTCATTCCTGATAATAGCTGATTTTTCTGTAACCATCTGGATATAACTGAGTTTATATAGCTGCTCATTGTATAAAATCCTGACACAGATTAAGGAGTTTATTTTTTCAAGGTGTGATGTTAAAATTGTATTTCTTAACTGCAAAAAAAAAAGGTCATATCTTTTAGCTTAAGACATCTTTCTCAAAGGGTTTTTGTATGTAATAGGAAAGTACTGCTGTTTAAAAAAAAATGTTAATACACTAAAATATTTACACCACCTATTTTCTGTGTATGTTGGTGAGAGCCACATTTATGTTAATGTTCTTATACCATTGTGTGATAATCATTCTTAGACCTAAATCTATGCAAGAGAATTCTATAGTATGTTGACCATCAGAATTAGCTGTTGTTCTAAACTGCCTCATGAGTATGGAACTTTTTTAAATTTTATTACTTTATTACTCTTTCTTTGACAACACAAAAATTTTTTTTAAGTTCAAGACATTCACTAATGAATCTATTTTAATTTAGGTAATATATAAAATCCTCATTACGCCTGACAAATGGAAGCCTCAAGTAAACTCAAACCATTTTCACTATAAATCAAAATGCATTTTGCCCTAAATGCTCCTTATCCAGCTAGTATCCTAGCAAGGATTCAGAGGTATAGGTCATAACAGGAAATGAAACATATCTTTAAGAAAATAATAAAAAGAAAAAAAGAAAAGAAAGGAGAAAAGAAAGAAACAGAGAGAGAAAATCTAGCTTGAGATATATTTCTGAGAACAGTAAGATGAGAACATGAAGCAAAGGACAGCGAGAATGTCTTATACTGTATCCTTAGCAATACTCTTTTGGGTAGGAGAAGCCATATGTTTATTTCTTCATAGATATGTCTACTTATTGATAAATTATTGAGTCTAAAACATTTTTGAGTAAAATTTGCTATAAAGAGGCTACTCTGAAATTGAGCGTCTTTTTCAGAACAAGAATCATTTTCATTATATGTATATTTACCCATGAGTAAATCTAGGTAACCCAACTCTATTTAGCCCAAAGCCACAAAAGACACCTAATTTGTTTTTCTATTTCATTAGTAATGTCTGATCTTTCTCTTTGGTAATTTTAAGTTATTTTAAATGATAAGATGCTGACATTTTTGTGAATAGTAATCTGCAATATTAATGTCATTATTTGTCTGATCATGAGGAATACGAGTCCATACTTAAAAAATAGTCTTATTTATGGGATTATGTATTATTACACAAATTTATATAAATTAAATTCTTAGATAGATTTTGATATTTAAATATTAACTTTTTACTGAGTTTATTTTTTAGGTGTAGCTAAAAGTGTTTCAAAAACATATGTTCACTGCCTATAAAAGTGTTATGATAATCAGTGAATTTATTTTACTGGTTCCTATAAAGTTCTGTGGTTCTATTTTCTTAATTATTATTATTTATTTATATAATGAGAGTGTTTTCCTACCAAATAGTCCTGTCTTCACATTGACAATATCCTATGGGCCAGTTAATGTTGCTTAAGCTGTATTTTAACTTCTAACTCAATATCATGCTGTGCTCAATCTAATATTCAATTAGTTACTACGAATAAACTGAATGAATTTTTTAATGTCTAGCTTTTTAAAGTAAACTATAGTATACTGTATTTCCTTAGTAAAGAATTACTATATTACTTAGTTACTATATTACATAGTAAGGAAATACCACATTTCCTTAGTAAGCCTAAAACCCTGAATTACCCAAAACCTTGCTTAAATCTATGTAATTAGAAAGTATTTATAAAATAAAATTTGTATTTATGTTAATAATTACTTAACTATATTGATACTTATTATTTTTCTTCTCTTTTGATTTAGGTGCAATAACAGAACCCAATGTGCAGTGGTCGCAGGTCCTGATGTTTTTCCAGACCCCTGTCCGGGAACCTATAAATACCTTGAAGTGCAGTATGAATGTGTTCCTTACAGTATGTATATTCTTGTACTTCTTTTAAAAAGGAAAGATATTAAGCATTATTTTGCATGCATTGACAACATATTCTCTATAAAACATAAAAATAATCACATAAATTATATTAAAAACTGGATAATTTTATTTTTCAAGGTCATACATTATCCTCATACTTGGACTAATTCAATGTTGCCTGCATGATCTTGCAGCATTTAATTTTGACTATATTTTTTTATATATCAATCAATACTTATTCTAAAACTCTTTTCTTAATGCAAGAATATAAAATATTTAGGAAAAAGGATGAATGAATGATATGTCAGTACTATATCCCTCTAGTTCCAACAAACAGAAGGCAAAGTGAATAATATGCTTGTATATATAGTAGCATAGAAATTGATGCACTTTCAATTTGATAGAAGCAATTAAATCTAAGCTTCCTGTGCTGCCAACATATTGAGAATTAAAAATATTCATCCAGAGGGAACAGACTGGATAGAAAATGCAAGAATTACATGAACTAAAGCACTCTTTAGAATGTATCCTTTATACTCCCAAGAAGTGAGTTTTTGCAACTTTTATGTCAGAAAAAATATATACCAATAAATTATTTTTTTTCTTCAGGAATAATGAAAAATCAAACATTCAAAAATGAAGCATTTTTGTTCCTTTTTTTTTAATTCAAAGGTAGAATCACCATCCCAAAAGAAAAATTTTTGATCTAACTAGTTAATTATTCATGGAATACCTTAGTGAAGATCACTTAGGAAATCCTGTATTCTCATACTAAATATGCAACTCATCCTAGAGGGTGAAAACTCCTGGGATCAAAACAAATCCCAGGTTCCGATATCCTTTGACATCTCAGAAGAAACAAACTGTCTGGGGATCAGCAAGTTTACTGTGCCGAGAGATATTTCTAGGCTTCCCTTATTTCTGTTTATTTAAAAAGCAGTGCATTGCTCATGACCTGTATGTGTGCATACTCTGATAATAGAAATTTGGCCAGCAAGAAATGAATTTAAATGTAAAAGTAATAGTAAAAGCAGTTAGGAGAAAATTCCATTGTTTGCTTTTTTAAGATGTAATTGATTAGAAGTATATCTAATGAAGTTTTATAGGCTAACTTTGTTATAAAGAAGCACAAGTGTATAGGTTTTATTGAAATCCCAGTTGAGGTCCCCATTCTTACATTGTTATCTCCAGGGACTGACCCTTCTATAAAAATATAAAGCTAAATGACCATTTATTGTGCATCAGTGATATTTTAAAGAACTAAAATTTGTAGTCTATTTTAGAACTTTGACAATTATACTTGGATTGCATAATAATAATATCTTTGTGAAAAATATAGAATAGCTACTTCCAAAGGCATTTTTAAAAAGTATGAATTAAGGTGTGCTTCAGTTTTAAAGACAGTTTTAAGAAACTTACATTCATATTTTTGAAACATGAAAACTGAAGAAGGCTTTTTGTATATTGGTTTTTTACAAAATTTTTAAAAATTAAAGAATTTCACAGCTGTTTCTTCAATTTTATGTCTTTTCCAAATTTCTTTGAGGAAAACTACTCCAAAATCCTATGCCAAACTCATTCTGAAAAATCATTTTCTTAAATCATTTTGATATAAATGAGAACTTACTTCCACACATTTGTAAAAAAGGATTGTGATTTACCACAGAGTTCCTCTCTCTCATAAATTTGTAGAGTTGGGCAATTTGATTCCAGATATCCTGTATTTACAGGTTTCTGATAATCCTAAAAATGTACTGATTACTTTAGAAGTATGTCCATACTATATTAGAATATTTATCTGATTATTTCATTAAATAAGAATTATAAACACAGGTGCAACCACTTTTCCAGGTTATATATGCTTTAATTTCTATGATACAATATGATTATTTGAACTATCTTCAGTCATTTCAGTTAAAAGTATAATAAATACTAGAAATTCGTTTAGTAAATTTAACTTGAATTTAAAAGAAAAGAATCCAAAAGAAATTGAAAATCATAAAATAAAATAGAGTGACTTGTTTGAAAGGTAGGATGGTTTAGTAGAAAAATGACCAGGTAGCAGGATCCTGTTACTTAACAAAAACCTGGATACTTTAGCTTAGGTAAACTGTTAAAATTTTCTGAATCTCACCTTACCAACGTTCCCTCATCTATAGAACAGCCACCCCATTTAATCTGTGGTTTCACTTTCCATGGTTTCAGTTACCCATGGTTAGCCTCAGTCTAAACTTATTAAATGGAAAACTCTAGAAATAAGCAATTTGTAAGTGTTAAATAATATGCCATTCTAGGTAGCTGGATGAAATCTGCTGTCCTCCTGCAGACATGAATCACCTCTTGTCTAGTATATTTACTGTGTTCACTACCCACTTGTTAGTATCTCAGGAGTCATTGGGTCATCACCTCAGCTGTCTCGTGATGATAGTTATCATGCCATCATAGTACTTGTGTTCAAGTCACCAATATTTTACTTAGTAAAGGGCCCCAGAGTGCACGAGGAGTGATGCTGGAAATATGGATTGTTTTTTTTTTGCTATGACTAATGTATAAATTAAATGTTATCATAGATATGTATAGGAAGAAAGACAGTATATTTGGGGTTTGGTGCCATTTGCAGTTTTAGGGATCCACTGAGGGTCTTAGAATATATATTCCCCCTAGAATGGTCTTAGAATGGGTAAGTTAGTGGGAGGCTATTACAAGTCCTGATTTAGGTGATGATGAGCTCCTTTACTTTTCTCCAGAATGAAAAAGCACTGTTTGTTGTTGTTGTTGTTTTCCCAAAAGTGAAAATATTCACTTATTAAAAGAGCTGACAATTATTAACATTTACTACATGTCATTTACTACATTGGTTATAAAACTCTTTGCAGATGACCCCATGGACTACACAGTCTATGGAATTCTCCAGGCCAGAATACTAGAATGGGTAGCCTTTTCCTTCTCCAGGGGATCTCCCCAACCCAGCGATCAAACCCAGGTCTCCCACATTGCAGGCAGATTCTTTACCAGCTGAACCACAGGGGAAGCCCAAGATCATTGGAGTGGGCCTATCATTTTCCAGCGGATCTTCCCGACCCAGGAATCAAACCGGGATCTCCTGCATTGCAGGTGGAATCCTTACCAACTGAGCTATCAGGGAAGCTCTTTATGTTTACATACTCTCTTTTATTTAATTCTCACAATCTCCTCTCTGTTAAAAATGTGTGTCACAACTTTACTAAAGAAGAAACAAACTCAGTAGGATAAGTAGAGTGTTTCTTATAAAATGTAGAATAGCTAGAAAATGGCAGCGCCAAAAAGTTGAGTATCTTTGGAATATTTGTTCTTAAGGACCCAACTCTACTTCCACACATAGATTTTCCCCTTTATATTTTCACGAGTTATTCAGTGGAGTTCAATATTCAACTTTCATCAGTACAGTAATGGCACGTGATGAAGAAAGAGCTTCAAGAACTCAGGCCCTTTTTCTCAGTTCTTTTGCTACTTACTTTTAAGAGGTTTGTATTCCTCTCTTAAAATTCAGCTGTAGCAACTGATTTGCTACAAACTTTTTTTTTTTCCCAAACATCTAGTGAAGCTTTATGGCAAAGACTAAATTGCGCTCTAAAAATACTACCCACAATTTCGAATGAGGCTCTTACCTACGTGGTACCTTTAAAAGTTTTTTAAATTACCTGCATTATAAGAAGAAAAAAAAAATTTGTATGTAATTAAAATGCTTGTTAAAAGACCCCATTGTATTAGTAGAAGACAGACATCATATTTAGGATTCAATGTTAATATTTGAAACTTTTCTAACTGTACCACTGAATAAACAACCAGACAAGAGATGCTGTTAGGTTCTGTTTGTCATATAGTTTTATAATATCCATTTTAATTTTGAATTTAAGATGATAAATTAAAGTGTATATGGTGATATATTTTATATTTATGAATGATTTGATCTTAATATTGATGTGTGAGAAAATATTGATATTTTCTTTTATTTTACACACACTCTGTATTTTTCCATGGTAATATTGATTTTTAAGGTGATACTTGGAAAAATATAGAAAAGAAGGAAATATATAAATACAGGGAAAAACAAAATTATGTATAAAAATATATCAATATTAATGATATATAAGCATATTAGAGGTAATATAGAAAAATACAACAAAGTCTGTTGTATCACATAGGAGAAGGAAAGTTGAAAATATCTAAGATAAGCTTGCCATAATTTTTGCACAGAGTTTTAGGAGTCAGTAAATAGGTAGATAATTGAACAAAGTTTTAAAAGGATCTTTACCTGAATCAATCAAAAGTAATGACTTCATTTGAAAAGATGACAGTAGGAAATAAAATAAGGAAAATGAGTAATTGTTAACAATGTAGTGAGGCTACTGAATTGTCTTACACTGAGTTTTTTGGATGTCGTGTACTCAATTTTTTTTTCAAATTGTAAAAGTTACATTTAATCTTTTCTTCCTACTATTTGTATTATCTTGTTTGGGTTTATAGGTACCCTGTTTTGGGGTAAGATGAATTAATATTTTTTCTGTTGCTGTCCCACCTTAGTTCCACTGTGACTTTTATAGCTTTTACCTTTCCTCTGCGACTTGATTTTCCTCCTTTGTGATATTTTCTCTCCAAGAGATGACCCAAATATTCAAGAGGTTAAGCCTCAGCCTTTACCAGTGACACATATTTGCTTTCTCATCTTCTTCTCACCCCACCCCATGACTTCTAGCCTGATTTGGGATAAAATTTGTAAGCATCTTTAAGTAGAGTTTCCTTCATTTAGCCAATTTACAGGGATGACTTGAGTTAGAAAGAAAACAATAAAACAACTAACCACCTACACAGAGTATTTCTGAGCAGAAAAATCTTTGCTTTATATCCTGCTGACAATTTGTCTTTCTTCCAAGGCATACAATTTCACGCACATTACACTCCAAAACTGCTTGTCTTCACTCACAGTCCAGCTTTTCTATTCAGTTGTTTCTTCTTTTTAAA